ACAATGTTTCCAAACACTTTATTGTAATCACAATCTGTGACCCGTAACAGTAAAATGAAAATGACTCACTTTTGGAGATTTACGTAATTTCACACAACGAAGCTGAGATAATTGCGATTTTGTGAAAGTAAAGCAAAACTGCTCTACGCTATTGTAAACAAACAGTGAAATACTTATGGTCCAGACTGAATGTAGAGTTCAATTTGTCAGTACATGTCGGTAATTACCCCATCTATCGGATTCCGTAAAAAAACCTGAAACACAGAGATCTTCGTGTTTGGCGGTCAAGCGTTGCGTTACCAAACACAGAGATCTATGTGTTTGGCGGTCAGATTGTTAATCGGGGTTGACATTAGTAATAGTAGAATTTTTATGATCTGTGTCATAGCTGATATAGTCATTTAATTGCAATTATCAAGCAGGATTTCTAAAAGATGATAAACAGTGCAGAAGGATAATATTTGTGCAGTTGTGAAAAGCTAGAGTGGGTGTTGTGATTACTTATATTATAGAAACGAGCCATTGCAGGACAACCCTGAACTTGGCATTTCAGTATTAATTGTTCCATATATTTGTACTACGAGAAGAATGTCAACATTTGTCACGTATGTCAGTATTTTCTGAATGCTTTAGGGCAATAACATGATAAACGGTGTGACATTTAACATTTAATTAACCTATTTCCCAGAAAACATTAGTTTTAATAACTATAATAATAATAATAATAATAATAATAATAATAATTATAATTATAATAAAGGTATATGGAGATAATTAACAAAAGATGCATCAGCTAACTCTAGCTAAAATATAGACTAAAAAAACATTTCTTGTAGGTTTCTGCATCATGTTAAAAAATGACTGGAAATTGTAAAAAAATGTGGAAATAAAAGGCCGCGAAATATTTCAAATTGTAAAATCACAAAAATAAAGGGCCACGAAAAAAAAAGATTTATAGTCATCAAACTTGTGTTATCCCATTTTGATAATCTCTCAAATGCTCTGTGTGACATGGTTTGATTTGATGGACCTGTGTTTCTGAACAAAGTTTGTAATTGAGAAAATTTATAATTCGATGGTTCAAATTTTCGTACTATCCTAGTGGTAAAAAATGTTTCTGAAGTTACTGTGTTCAGTTTAAAACAACTTGATTTTACATTACAACATAGAATAAAAGTATAGTATTTCAAGAAAAAAAATATATAATTACAATCTTAGCTTTCTCAGTTTACATAAAAATGAGAAATTGCACAATGTAGCGGTATAGCCTCAGGGACAAGCAAATGGTCTGAAGGAATGTCGTGAGAAGCGTGGTGCGTATGAATGGATAACGTCAACGATAAAGTCAAGGCCATTGTTCTACACCTTATATGTCATTACCCACTGTCTTGACATTTCCATTCAAGTACAAGAGATATTATTCTACTAGATAAGTGGCTTCAAGCTTGAAAAAACAAAGACAAAAATATAATCCTATTTTATGTACATTAAAATATGTTTTCATTTTATCGTGGTAATACTCCATTGATGGAAGAAATGCTATGGATGAAATCATCAAAAAGCAGCCCGAACTTTAAATGTATTAATTGTTAAATTTAAAGAAATGTTCATCCTAAAGAGATATTGTGATTAGATGAGTTAAAATAGATTCTTTTTGATTTTAAAACTGTAAAATACATCATTTTATAACTTTATATTTTCTATGGAAGTCAGATAATAATTAATTTTATAAGCCAATCGTGACGTCATCACTGCAACTCCCAATGTTATTTGCCTATTCCCCACCGTGCACTAGTTGATATTAGTTTATAATTAAAAGAAAGATTAAGATTATCCATAAAATGTTACTACGCTTTACAGTTCACCCTCCCAATTCAAGACCACCTTATGGCCCTGAAGTTTTTGAGTGGTTTCAGGGTTCCGTCTCCGCGTAGAGGGTTAGCTTATTGTCAATAGATTGAAGATTGTTGCTGTTATAGTCCTGAACCAGATGGGTCTCGAAATTGGTGTACTGTAAATTGGAAATTTGTGCAAAAAATTGACTGTATTGAGTACATACTAAAAACATACAGTAAGTCTCCCAATTACGGACCTCCCATTTACGAACTGCAGCAAACACTAAAATCCAAGTGATATTTTGAGACAAAATTTAACTCCCCATGGTAAAGCTTAGGCCTACCTAGCCCTATTTAGCCTACTCTGCATACAAGGCCTATGCACTGAGATGCTATGAAAATTCGAACTCTCTGAATTGCATATTTTTTCAATTACGAACTCTCTTCAGATGTAGGTGTTTGAATTGGGAGATACTGTATTACAGTAAAGTTTTATTTTTAAATTAATGTTAGCTTTCGATTAAAAATTTAAGAATAATTTCCTTGCCAAAGTTAGCCTACACATAAATAACACTGTTGCTATATTTTTGGCATAAACTGTTCAATTGGCTAGTAACATAACTAAATGAATTTGACAAATTTGAGGTAAATCTCATAAAACCTAATTATTTAGTATTTTGCTTCATTTGCATATTTAATCATTTTAAATGAGTAATTTATAATTTAGTTAAATTTAATATTAAAGGTTTACCACATTTTAGCACAATTTTTTTTCTTTTATTGATGGACAAATTGTAATCATGATAAAAAACTTTAAAGGCAAATAGTAAACCAATTACAGTGTTGAATGCAGTGTAAATCATAAAAATGCAAGGTGAATCAAAGATAGTTATAGTCTACTTTAATCACTGTCAGTATTTAACATGAATGATACTGTCGCCATTTGTTCCAGAATATCATATCATATGTTATACCAACTAGTCCGTTGCCTGGATCCAAAGTAATTAAAACCCAAGTGCTAAACTTAGCTTTTTATCAGACACATGTGACCAAAGGAAGACATTTGGTAGCAAGAGAGGAAGGACTTAATTATTATCTACAGTAAACAAAACTGATCTCTGATTTACCTATTACGATTTTGGTTGTCTTTTTTTTTTCTCTGATACACCATGAGCTGATTATTAAAGCTCTCAACTGGTGGAGGAGAGGAGATATTGTGTACCAACAAACCAACAATTTTAAGTATTATTTGTACTTGAGGTATGTTTTTCAAAACTGCATAATATAAGAATTTAACATACAAAATTTTTCTTAGTTTACGATAAATACCAAAATACTCAATTATTGTTGTAATCACAAATGTCATTTGACTACAATATTTTTATTTTAAAGGCCTTGTGAAATTATTGAAATTTTGTGTAGTTTATCTTCTAGTTGAAAATTGGATAATTTATCTAAGATAGAACACCTATGATACTAAAATGTTCTGAAAATCAGATAGCGTGAAATTTGATTATTTTTTTTCTCCCATCGCATTAATCTACGCGCCATTACAAGCTTAGTCGCGGGTTCAACATTAAAAAAATAAAATCATTCATATCTTACAGATCTTCTCTTATGCAAATCTGAAATGCCATTGACTTCAATTAACTCTGTTAGTTCCCATTACACTTCAAAGCAGTGAAGCCCTTTCTGAATAAATTGTATTGATCATTTAATCCCCTTATTAACGAATTACATTAGATTAATCAATATCATTTTGGCTGTGCGCTTCGGTTGTAAGTAATGTAGGGTAATCGGCAGGAGTGGCAACGCCTGAGTGGCCACTGCTGAAGCTCGATCACGTGGTTGTGATGTACGTCATTTACGTTTTTCTTGACGAAACGATTTGAATGAATTTTGTGGAGAGTTGAGCTGAAGCAATCCGTGAAGGTTATGGGGATTCAGTGTGTATAGAATACACATTCCAAATCATACTGATTTGTCTTGCCTACACAGATTTACCTAAATATGTCACAGAAACAGTCGTAAAGTTAATTCATTTTAATTAGTGTTGTTAGTAAGCTGCTACTTACCTTGCTTGAAAAATGTTCAAACTTATCTGGTGAACCGTGATCGTACATATATGGCTCTGTAGCAAGCTTTCTTTGCTCATAGACTATCGTGCATGTAGCAGGTCTGATATTAATTCATGTCTTATGCAAGTACTTATTAAAGCATATGTGATTTCATTTTTTTTTATCTTTGAGGGTAGGTAAATTGGTGGTCAGGTAAATTGGTGGTCAAAAATATAATTCCCTCAATTGACATGTCTTTAGAAAGGAGAAAGGATATTGTCTTCTATAGTCCTATATTATCATGCTGTGCAAATTTGATTATTAGTGTATCTGTTTTGGGAAAAAAATCTGATTTAAAATAATTTATTAGTGTTAACATTCAGGTGACATTAAATTTGATTTGTCCTATCAGTCAAAAAATATGAAATCCCCTGTATATTATATAAGATTGATATTATGTCTTATTATAAATGAAACATTTTTTATTGAAAGAAATTCATATGCACACATTAAATCTCTGCCTCTATGTTCCCTCCCACCTCTTAGTACTAGATACCTTAGTTACGTCTGCCAATAAGGACCTTTTTTTATTCACAAATTTCTGGTTCGTATGCAAATGATATTAAGGGCATAAGTCAAGCCAAGCCTACCATGTTGATTATTTGCAGTCCAAAGTTAGGCCATTTTCAGTAATGATCGTAATATCAATTTGAATTTAAGTTTATTTCAGTATATTTTATATCATGTTCAGCATTACTAAATAAATCATTTTGTATCAAGAAGTAAATCTTCAAATAGTACAGTATCTGTACATAAATAATTTTTTCAATGATTAAAGTTTATATACAACTTGAGCAACTTGTGCTCAAATGTTATGCTGATTAATTATGCACATTTTCTGTGGTTATTGACTTTCTTATTTGTTAAATTGTGCAGAAAATTAAATACGCCAACAGCAAAATTCTGCCCCTGGATCATGTTCTGGCTATATACAGCCTCAGCTGCACCTAAATATAATCTTGAAGATCTGCATATTTTCTAAGAAATATAAAAATGAATGGAAATGAAATCTTTATGTATTAATATTACATATTTTTTTGTTTTACAGGAATTAAGCTTGGTGGGCTATGTTAGCAGCCATCTTAAGCTAATGTGTTGCTGTGGTTGCAGGCAGACTTAGATGAATATAGATACAGTAAGTACACTCCCAATGTTGTATAAATTTAGCACTAGGCTATGTATCATTTTCTTTATCTCTCTCTCAAGGTGGTTGATGATGTCATAGTTGTGAGAAGTGTCATCAGTATTGTGAATTGAATGCTGTTGGATACAGTTGAGATTAACAGTATGAAGGTCAATGATAATTAAATATTGTCATTGTCATGATCAGTGTCATTATAGTTATGTCATTAAAATCAATGTCATTATCAATTATAATCATTTTCATCACCATCATTACTGTCATCATCATCACCACTTAAATCATTGTCATTGTCATTTTCATCACCATCATTATTGTCATCAATATCAACACTCAAATCATTGTCATACTGTATCATCAGCATCATCATCTTTTTCATCATAATCATCATGTTGTCTAAATGCCTAGGAAGGATAATGTCTTCACAATGATTGAGGATTTAGAAAAAGAAAGATTTCTATTATCATTTCCTCATTATTATATAATTCCCATGATCATTATTATTGTCCAATTTATCATTCCCTACTTAAACATCATTTTATCGTCACTATCACCTTCATAGTCATCACCATTGCTACCAACTTATCGACTAATGAATCATCATCTTTCTCATAATTAATAATTAGCATCATCAACTACTAATCATTATCATCATCACCATTATATTTTAAAAACTGTAAGTTGTAGTCCCTTATAGGCTATTCTGATTATGATCATAATTATAAATTATAATTCAGTTATGCTAATAAATTAAAAATTTTCAAATAAATTTGTGAATTCATTGATAGATTAAATTATACATTGGCACATTATTTCAGAAACATCATCATTACACCAACTATGACACCATAATCATTGAGTACAAATCTTTTCTGATGTCGATTAATATATTTATTTCTCCACATTTGCACAGTTTTATGACATTTTTAGATACACCAAGATGACAGCTTCACCAGATCAAGCAGTTGTTGATGTTGCTACAGACACAATTGTGGAACAGCAACAACAACAACAGACACAAGAGCAACATTTAGGATTAACTATTGGGGAACAAACACAAGAATCAGCTACAGCCGAGAGTGCAAGTCCAGTTAAAACTGAGAAGAAAACATGCTCGGGATCAAGTTCAAAATCAGATGTAAAGCATGATAATGGGCGCGAGAAAGGCGACAGTAGGCGGGAGAAAGGAGACAGCGGGAAACGTTTAGAATTCAGCAAGCGGGAATCTAGGTCACTTGATGCCCAAAGTAAAAAATATGAACACAAAAACTCTAAGACACGCAGAGGACCACTACTTAAAAGTAAATCAGAAGAATCTCGCAACGATAACGGATTACGCAGACAAGGTTCGCGCGAAAGCGATACGCAGCCACGTCGCTCTTCGGGTAACAAGAAACTTGTACGGAGTAAAGCTTTTGATAAGGATACTTACGAAATCTCCAATCAGGTAAGATAGATATTTCCCATAATTTGTAAAAAGCAGTTAACATAGACTTTCATAAATATAATTGTATGGAAATGTATAAATAATATTAATAAATATCAGTCATTTTTTTCTATATGTTGACTATATTTTTTAATAATTTGTTCCTTATTTTGTAGCCATTTGTGATATTGGATAATAAATGATAATATACCAATAATCAACATGCCTATCTGGTGAGCAATTTGGAACAATGCTTAACTTTTCACAGAAAGTATCCATAATACAACTGTAGGCTGAACACTCATGTGCTAAATCTTGCTATCTTAAAACTCATTTCGTAAATTAAAACCAGCAGTACAAATGACCCAAGTTAGCATTATCCTTTGGTTTGATCAAAAAATTATCAATTACAAAACTTAAAAGATTTCGTTAGCCTCAGATCAGCATTCTTAAAAGGTAGGAGAAAAAGTTAACAGCAGTACAAATTAACCAAGGTAGTTACCCTTTGTCTCTGTCAAAGATTTATCCAATAAAACACAGCTTTAGATGGTACCAATCCACCATTTTTAAAAATCATACATTTGTGTGTGATAAAAGTTTGTTAGTATTTAATGAATTTAAAATGGTGTTTTTAAAATCAAATAGTTCAAGTTCTAATATTGCCATATGTTTTTACAACATTGGAATTTAAAATTAAAGATGCATTCTTATATACAAAACAAACAAACAAGTCATAAATTACATAAAGGAAAACACATCATCAGCCACATCTAGCATTCTCATTCAATAGGCCTTGTACTACAAGATAAAAACTTTTCAAAAACTTAGCCGCCTAGCTTTAGATGCTACCAATCCACCATCACTAAAAATCATACATTTGTGTGTGGTAAAAGTTTTATATAGTTTTTAATCTTTTAATATGGTGTTTTTAAGTTCAAGTTTTAACGTTCTTAAGTTCAAGTTCTCCTAAACATGCCATATGTTTTTACAAAATTGGAATTTAAAATTAAAGATTCATTCTTGTATACAAAAACAAACAAACAAGTCATATTAATTACATAAAGAAAAACACCTCATCAATGCTGGTAGTATAACATTATTCTTCTTTTTTTTTTCTTTTTTTTAAGAAGAGAATGAATTTATTGTTTTTTTTTAAAGAAAAAAGTTATATTTGTTTAGAAAGTTAAATAACTTCCAAAACTAAGCCTTCTTGGCACTAACAGAACACATTAAGTAGTTTCAATTTAAATATATACCATGAAAACAATGGTAATCATTTTATTAATAGCACTGATCTTTAGCGTTTTCTAAATACAGTAAATTTATTTGTTTAGAAAGTAAAAAGCCTTTCAAAAACCAAGCCTTCTAAGTTTTAACAGAACGTATGACGTAGTTTCAAATTAAATATATTCCATGGAAACAACGGTAATCTTTTTATTAATAGCAATGATCTTTAGCGTTTTATAAATACAGTAAAGTTATTTGTTTAGAATGTAAAAAACCTTTCAAAAACCAAGCCTTCTTAGCACTTACAGAACGTATGAAGTATTTTCAAATTAAATATATTCCATGGAATAAATGGGTAATCTTTTTATTAATAGCAATGATCTTTAGCGTTTTATAAATACAGTAAAGTTGTTTGTTTAGAAAGTAAAAAACCTTTCAAAAACCAAGTGTTTTTAGCACTAACAGAACGTATGAAGTATTTTCAAATTAAATATACTCTATGGAAACAACGAGTAATCTTTTTATTAATAGTAATGATCTTTAGCGTTTTATAAATGAAGTAAAGTTATTTGTTTAGAAAGTAAAAAGCCTTTCAAAAAACAAGCCTCCTTAGCACTAACAGAACAAATGAAATATTTTCAAATTAAATGTATTCCATGGAAACAATGGGTAATCTTTTTATTAATAGTAATGGCCTTTAGCTTTTTATAAATACAGTTATGTTATTTGTTTAGAAAGTAAAAACCTTTCAAAAATCAAGCCTTCTTAGCACTAACAGAACATATAAAGTATTTTCAAATTAAATATATTTCATGGAAACAACAGGTAATCTTTTTATTATTAGCAGTGATCTTCAGCATTTTATAATTATGCAGTAAAGTTATTTGTTTAGAAAGTGAAAAACCTTTCAAAAACCAAGCCTTTTTAGCACTAACAGTAGTATTTTCAAATTGAATATATTCCATGGAAACAATGGGTAATCTTTTTATTAATAGTAATGATATTTAGAGATTTGTAAATACAGTAAAGATATTTGTTTAGAAAGTAAAAAACCTTTCAAAAACCAAGCCTTCTTAGCACTAACAGAACGTATGAAGTATTTTCAAATTGAATATATTCCATGGAAACAATGGGTAATCTTTTTATTAACAGTATTGATCTATACTGTGTTAATGGATCTAGCAGGAATCAATGAATATCCGTTTATGTCCATAATAATAATATATTACAATGTTTATTTACATAGTATGTATAATACTTCATTTAACCTTAATCTATTTTAATTTTCCTGTCCCTATGTCTTTTTATTAATTACCATATTTTAGTTTCATGTATATAATAGAAAATGAGATATGTTAAAAATATTTTAGTATTATTATCTATGTATTTCAGTTTGTTGCACTAAGTAACCAAACAGTTGAAACAGATGCATCAAATCCTAAAATAAAAGAATTTAGTTCTATATAAATATAACAATTATTATTAATAGTGTTGTTATTTTTTGCTGATTATCATTAATATTGAATTTGTTGATCAGTTCTCAAAGAATTTTATCTGACTTCAACAACAATATAATAAATAATGTATTTGTTCTTTACTATAGCTTATCATTTGAAGAACACCTTATTTATTATATATCATCATTGATTCCTCTGCAAACTCAGGACTCTTTCATTGGAACCCCAAAACTTAACATTTGTACCACTTCCCTCTTCATTTACATAACATAATATCTAACTGTACTTTAACGTGGGTCTTTACTGCTGCGTACAGTAGTGCCAAAAATGGGACAACAGGCTAAAATGGGGTCCATGGCACTATGGTAAAGAATGGATAGAATAGGTAAGTGATAAAAAAAAAATAAAAAAAACATACATTTTGGACGACTACTCTAAAATTGAATATTTTGCTTCTAGAGGCTTCCCAGAGTCCAGCTGTGCCTAGCCACTCAACCCTACTTCGGCCCCTAGGCAACCCCAATCATAAGTCCTTTAGGATCCTGATAGCTACACAGTTTGTTTTTTTTTTCAAAAAATGCCTATGGGAGCAGCACACTTGGCCAAACTGGTGGTAGCCACTGTGATATGTGCTGAACTGTGGAGATACATTGTAAATCTTTGGCACCCAGTTTAATTCCATCCAATGCCCTCCTCATGTTACTGAAATACAATTATAAAAAATACCCTGTCTTCTGGAAGACAAGGTGTGCAATATGGACCATGTTTATATTAAAGAATGTAGTACTAGTAGATTGTCTTTTGGTGTACTACACAATCACCAAAGAAGGACCCCACTAAATAACTCAAATCCAATTCACCATCCTTTTACAATTATACCTCCATGCTTTTACCAGGCATATAAATCTAGATTTGCTCTCAGCAACCACTGCATACACACGCATACTGTATATCTCACATTTACAGTACTACAGATTTATCCATGTACATGTATGCACATACCATTTACCTACACATACCATACATTCCATCCTGGAAAAAAAAATACTTTGATGAAAAATAAGACTTTTTTAATATAGGCATCATGAGACCAGAAATGGGAATTTAGATACTTGAGACTTTTAAAGTCGATAGGAGAATATCCCAATCATTGGAGGCTCCTGATTGGAAGAAAAATTAAAATGTGTGACATGCATCTACCAACATATTGCACATGTATTATCTGACTAGTACACGTCTACCTGGGATGTACATTTACTGTATATATTTACAATGTAATGCATCATCTTCATGTTGTCTATATCTACATACACATGTGTCAACAACATGCACCTAACAATAGTCTGCCTACACATATATCCACAGATCTACCTACACATACCTACCTACACATATATTTACATATGTACTTAAAGTAAATCCTTTAAGGAGCCACTAAGGCTCATAGAGCTGGAGCTCGTCCCCCATTTCTGTAGCGGGAAGCTGTCAGAAGTGTGATACTCCCCATGGATGGGATCAGTGGCATATCTAGGGGAGATTAAATTACTTACACCCCCAGACTCCACCCAAAAATCACGGTCAAGCTAAAAAGCACCTAAAATCACCTTGTTTTGCGAATTAGCGCCCCCCCCCCCAACTGATTATCAAATCCCCCACTTGACCTTCGCGCCCCATAGTTTCAGACTCCTAGACACGTCACTAGATGGGATGGTAGTCCATCGTAGGCTACTCCCAGCAATTTGCTGTTACCCATTGATACAGCTAGTTAAACTGTAGTAATGTAAATAGACCTTGATCAAAGACACAGGCGCAATGTACAATGAGGGATTGCAACTCCGACCTGAAGACTTGAAAACCAAAGAGCTACCAATCCACCACACCATCTCTACATCTATAATATTAATAAACATATAAAATGTAATAAGGAACAAACTAATGCTACAATTTTCCAAATTCGAAATATAGTTTATAATATTCAGGTACACAGTGTCTACTGTACAGCATGATCTATACACTAACATGCAAAAAATATCCCTTCCTCTTTTTCAGAGAGACGCATGGATAACCATATTGTCATTTCCACTGCCATCAGTTTTCTCATGAATATTGTCATAACTTGCATCTCCCAGGCTTACACTTACACACATAAAGATAAAATTAATTTGTTAAAACTATATCCATTGCATATTTTTTATAATTAGAGTGCGTTATTTTGGCACTGTGTGTACAGCTTGGAGGAATTTTGGTGACATTAAAAACACATGTACGTTCGTAGTGACGTGCAGTACGTCATGGGATGGATATCAATTTATGTATCAATGATGGATTCATAAATTGATACCGATGTGACACTATCTGAATGTAGTGACGCGAGGCTGTGACGACTGAAATACAGTCATTCGATTTTTGTACTCGTCATACTATTTATTTTTCATTAGTTATATATATATATTACAATATTAAGAAAGTTACATTTTGATAGTGTTTTTTTTTCTCAGTGCCTCCATGCATGCATATTATATTAGTAATATATTTCTCTAAGTTATAATACTCTTAATATTACATTAAATAATAATATTAGTAATGGTCATAATTATGAAAATGCTATTTAGCTAATAATAATAATGTTAATAGTAATATGATTGTTTATACTAGATTATTTAATTTCATAAATGTATATCATGTTTCTATAATTATCCACAGCTGTTTTATCATGCATCATATATCATATCACTAATATTTCAACTACAGACAAGTATAAAACATACATGAAAAAAAAGCAGCTAGTACCTAGTAGTACTAATCGAAAATTTTTACAAAATTACAATTGCTAAACTTTTTTGTATAGTATGGCAAGACTTTTGTTATACCTTGTTTCGTTAACTTATTTTTTTAAGATCGTCAGAGGAGGGCGGAAAAAAAATACAAATATAATTTTGTTTTCTTATTTAGTAAATGGTTTTGCTGAAAACATTCAGATGGAAATGAAATTTTATTGGTGAATGTAAACAGCGTAGCAATAGGATGGATAAATGCTTTAAATTGATATGATTAGGACGATATATATATCTTATTTTTGAAGATTTAAATGCAGCGGCAGGCGTAATAAAAATAAAGAAAAACTTTAATTTTTTTTTTTTAATTTCCATTTTTTCATGGCCGCATGTGTCCTAATTGGCCTAATATAAAATTTTATTCAAAATTATCATTATTGATGAGTAGCAGGTTCGTTAAACAAGGTATAAAAAAGTCTCGCCTATGGTATATTGTGTAAAAAATATTTTTTTCTTTAATAATGTTAAATTTAAATAAAATATTTTAATTAATGATCCTCTTACTGTACATGTGATAAAACAATGAAAGTAAACAAAAATATATGTGTTATAAATTTTAAGTTAATAGAAATTTATTTTTTGTTATCTAATTTACAATTTGCCAGTTCTTTTTTAAGACTACACCAACCATCCTACATTGCTGAACTGATCACTCAGAATCTTACCGGTATGTCATATTTTCACTCGGCCAATGAACGACTTTCTACTGTCCCACGCACCTAGTTTTGTACAAAACGTGATCACTCTTTTATGCCATTCGTACATCATTGAACTTTCTATCACACACCACAATAAATGCAACATCTGTTTTCTTTTAGAAAAAAAAAACAACCTAAAATGTCATCCCTTTACTTAACATTCTGCAAATGCTTTTGATCATAATTTTATTTTAGACTGATGTTATAAAGTATTGTTTATTATTATTGAAAAACAATAAAATTTACAAAAGAATAATATATTTTGGTAATTAAAAAATATACTAATAACTTAAACAGTAAAACATGGTAGTTAAATTGTCTGGTTGTTATTTGAATGAATGAACTCAGTTGTAATGCTGTTTTTTCATTTTTTTTTCATAGAATTTATTGTCTTGTATTCAGTTAATTAAAAGATTTCTGTAGTAATACAGTGTGTAATTCAACAAAAACCCAGTTTTATCAACTTATTGTTTCATCACAAGTTAATTTGTTGGATTTAAAGAATAGAGTAATTCAGTGAGAACTGAGGTTTTATCTAGATATTTATTATTATTATTATTATTATTATTATTATTATTATTATTATTATTATCACATTATTAAGAAGACAATTATTATTGTTTTTTTTTTTTTTGTTATTTTTATAAGTTATTATTATACTACAGTATAGCTGACATTCATTTTTGTTATTGAAATTGTCATAGATCGTTCCAAAATATTTGCTTTATTCTAATTTAAGATGATCATATATATACTATTTTTTACTAATTGTCATTTATGTAATCACATACAATTGTCATTTTTTAAACATGCAAATTCTGAAATAGACATAATAACTGCAAACACATTGGCCAAAATTGTTTATGGCTTACAATTTAGAGATTATATATTTACAACTTCTAAGTTACTCTGCTGTACAGGTGTATTAATACTTATACTAGGTAGACGGCAATTCTTTTTTTGATCAATACTTTAACTTGTATAGGTTATAATAATATAATGGAATTGTTATATGGGAGAATATGCCTGCTCAGCAACCTTTCCTAGTTCTGTACTGTTTTTGTTTTATTGATTTAATTGAATAATGTATTGTGTTATCTGTGTTACAAGTGAAGTATAGTTAATTTGATTTGATTTGTGGTTATTTGATAGCTCTCAGTCTTCCTGAAATGCCATACAGTAGGAAACCATTCTTGTCTTGAAAGTATCATTTCAATGTATATTCAGATTTTATCTATTTTTTTTTAACCACCAACATTTCACATTGAATAAAAATTGTGAACACATAAATGAGACGCGAGATGGGATTGATTCAATGCCAAACAGACTCCGTTCATTAATGTTTTAAACTGCTTTTTTCCAGAAACAGAAATAACCGGTTGTGAACACAGCTAAGTAATAGGAACAAGTACGTTTTTTATGAGTTAATGTTTGCTATTTTTGGTTTGATTTCAGGTGAGTGATGTGCCGCCACGGCTCAAGATGAAGGCAGACAGTTCCGACTACCCATCACCTAGAATTGTGAGGCAGCACAGTGGTACAAGGAGTGAGCCAGCACTGTCAAGAGGTGAGGCCTAAGCCAACTTAGCTGGGGAGCAGTTTAGCTCAGTCAGCTAATCTGTTGGTAACAACTGTGTGTGCGCTGAACCGTGGAGATCTCTAGGTCCCCGGTTCAATTCTCATCGCTGCTCTCCTTGTGTTTTAGCTGTAGGCTGAAATACAAGTTACGATAACGCACCGTCTTTCAGATGAGACGTTTAAGCCGTTGGTCCTGTGTGCAGTATGACCCATGTGCATGTTAAAGAACGGAGTACACTCTTCGGAAAAGAGTAGGGGATTGGCTCCCGGTGTACTGCCCAATCACCACCAGAAGGATCCCGAAACAAGTCTTCAGACTTCCTGGCTTACCTTTGGTGTGATTCACACTGAAACACTTATTTATGTTGTATTAATTATTCACTAGCTGTATCTCTCTGGAATTCTGCTGCTACTGTACTCCTCATTAAGATTATCAACTTTATGTTTGTTTTTGTTATCATCATCATTATCTCAATCATCATCATCATCATCTCTACCATATTCATCATCACCAGTTGCCATTGAAACCATTATCATTGTGGCCATTGTCAAAATCAAAATCATAGCAAAATAAACAGGCATCTTCAGCACTTTGAGGCTATTCTTTTTTGCATTACATTACATGCTTTATAAAATTATTATTATTATTATTATTATTATTATTATTATTATTATTATTATTATTATTATTATTGTTTTTGTTTTATATAATAGTATTATTGTTATCATAGTCAAAATTATCATATTGTCTTATTTCATATTATATTTTGTAAAATAAACAAATAGTTCTTCCTCATCCTTAAATCATTATCGTCATATAATAGTTAAATATTTTTGCAAATACAGTAAAGATATTTAGTTCAAAATATATACAATTACAAAAACAATAATGAACAAATCAACCATGAAAGTATCATCACAACTGAAGTATAAATTGAACCTGAATAACCAAATGTTTTGACAAAAAGTAAAACTCATTTTCAGTTAACTAAATAAAAAGAAATAAACTTAGGCGAAGTTACCCTGAATTTCTATCTTCCATTGGTGTTAGTATGTACATTTTTTTAATAAATATACGTGATTGAATAAAGTGCAATTACCTTTTTTTACAAAATCATGGAGCTGTTTGTTTTGAGATAATTACAGTTTTTCTAAATCCTTGAAACAACGGTAGTGTGTGTATATATAGGTGGAGCGCACGCCCCCTCCCCCCCCCCCCAAAAAAAAGCTTGCAGCCACCCAGTCTTCCTCCCATTGAAAATGTCTGAAAGGGAAAAAATCGTGTTGAAGTAGTTAAAAATCACCTCATATCACCTTATTTTGCGACTTAGCACCCCCGCACTTAATCAACAATGCCTCCACTACACCTTCACGTCCATCATCAGACCGCCCCCTTATCAATTCAATTCAATTCACTAAAACTTATCCCACAATGGGGAAACCCATAATGATGATGACTTTTTTAAATGCATTGCATGTAAGGTTTCTTGTCATCCTCACTATCTTCCACAGCTGTATTATTTTAAATAATACCATAACTTGAAGTGTCATCTTTGATTCTTATTCAAATAGATTCCAGCATGGATGACCAGAGTCACCGGCCAATAGACTCCACAGGTACAGACGTCTTACAGTTTATCATCAAGGCTTTGCAGACCCAAAAGGACCGTAAACACCTTCTTGATTTTGAGCATGATGTTTTGGAATTCTTAGATTCAGGGTAAATATTTGTATATGATTGATAATATTTTATAATAATAATAATAATAATAACTAGCACTAACTTATACTTAGGCGGAATATCTTTTGTGTTGTTTCCCCCTTAACGTCATTTTTTTAATTGTTCTCTAATTTCTCCATTGGCAGAGTTCATTTTAAGGTAGGTTTTAGTAACATAATAATAATAATAATAATAATAATAATAATAATAATAATAATAATAGTAATAATAATTTCACTAAAGTGGACATACAGGGAATATCTTTTGTGTTATTTTCCCCTCAACATCATTTTTTTCAATTGTTCTCTAATTTCTCCATTGTCAAATTTCTCCTTAAGGCAGGTTTTAGTAATAATGATAATAATAATAATAATAGTAATATAATAATAATTTTTATACTTACACTCAATACCAGCAAGGCCTCTAAACGATTCATATTATTATCCCAGTAATTGGATCAAGCACATATGGAACACGTACTCACTTCCCTTTGGAGAATTTTGTAATATCGCAGCTGTAATTAGCACATTTTCTATTTGGACCTACCAGGTACCCACTTGTACTCCTAGGATGGAGAGAGACAACCGTAGGTAATGTGCCTTGCCAAAGGACACAAGAGGTAGCATGTTTTTGGACGGTATGCTGATTTCAAAGTACTGAAATAATACTATACTAAATTCCATGTTCATGCTAGAAACATTCTCTAGGAAGGTTGCATCGTGCACAACAGTTTCTGCGATGGAAAACAATTGACCGTTCTGGAATGTCAATCAAACTTAACAACTGACCAATCAGAACAGTGTGGCAGGAATACGCGCATGTCCCACAAACACGTGTTGTCCCACAAACGCACATGTTCGCGTATCCAACAATAGGACGGGGAAAAGGTACATTACACTGTTATGTACTAGGGACGGGGGAAAGGTACATTACACTGTTATGTACTTGTTTGTACTTTGTTTATTACAGAATATTATGCACAAAATGCAACCTCTCTAGGTGTGCGTTCCATTGGTGTGTTGATCCTGTAACTGGAATAATAACGTGAAGTGCATGGAGGCATCCACATTATGTACCTTATTATAGATCATTTTATCGGATTTATTTTGAAACAGCGCTGCCAACGTCTCGAAACTCACTAGGGGACTTCCAGCGGCCTAGCCTGAGCAGCTGGCTAGTTACAAGTGGGGCACCGCGCAGCGGATAGCCGCCAGACCTGTACTACAGCAGCAGTAGACAACAGATATGATCTTGTTAATTATTGTAATTACTGTATATCTAAACATTGAAATAGCTTTGTAAGACTCGGACTTGTTTGTATTATTAATATTTCATGTTTTTCTGTTTTTAAAATGTTTGTGCTCATTAGTAAATTAGTTTCATCATTGATTTAATCCATGATGGTAACTACGTCAAGCGAAATGCTAGGCCTCTGAAAGTCCCCCAGTAGTAGTTGCCAGGTTATCGGAAATTTTCATTTCAAATTTCGTGAAAATGGTCTATACTTATAATTATTGTTACTGTTATTGTTATTATTTTATTACTAATAATATTATTTTTAACATTATTATTGTCATTATTATTATTAGCTTTATTTGCACAACTTCACAGTGATGATCACGTTTGTCCGTTGATATAGGTGTTAAGTGGCCGTATAAACGGTGTTAGTAACTACGCGTAATGGATCAGTAACTGCGATGATCTACAGAGTTACCTCCACATCGCAGCGGTGTTAACAGAGATCATCGGCATGATCTTATGCAAATTAGCTGTTGTTTGACCTGTGTGAGTCATCGCTGGAAGTCGCTGCTGATAAACAGCGGGAATACAGTTATTGTTATTTGGAAAATTATGTTTTTATCAATTACATATATTTTTAAACTTTTTTGACAAAGGGTTTCAAAACAGCAGTAATGTGCACGTTTTTTTCAGGACGGTTCTAATCATGTGACTTCCTGGTACAACCGATAATTTTTTTTATCGTGTAGATGCTCGACTGGAGATCATTTGGTGTTACTTATATGATAGCAAACGGCTGTGTAACCATGGCTAATATTATTGTTTCTTATTATTATTATTGTTATTATTATTATTATTATTATTATTGTTATTATTTTTTATTATTATTTATTATTATTATTATTATTATTATTTTTATTATTATTATTATTATTAATGTTATTATTAGTATTAACTTCATCATCATATCATAAGTATGGAAAACTATGGTGGGATTAAAAGTGGGGAAGAACACTGGATTTCCCATTAGAAATACTTGCCTGTTTCTTTCTCTTGCACGTTCTGAGTATAATTATTGATTTGTTGCCTTGTTAAAATTAATACAATCAGTTTCTGATAATCCTGGGAAAGGCCCTCCTGTAGTTATCCAACCAGCAATGAGAAATATTTACACTCAATTTAACTAAATGTGTTTGAGTGCGTTCTCATTAATAATTTTGTCATTATATCTTGGTATAATGAGATCAGTAGTGATGATTTCGGGGGAATTCCCTAGATTTCAAACTGGCAATGAGAAATATTTACCCTCATTCTTTGCTTTGCGTGTTATTGTAATGATCAGTTAATATGCTGCGATAATACACAAGTCTACGATTCTGTTCATAGATTTAAATTATCTCTGATTGCAACACGGCCGAAGCCAGAACAAATTGCGTATGAATAAATATCCTATTAAAGTCGTTATAAATTCTGCGAAAGGCAGAAAACTGACTGAGTAAGATAAAACCTTGTCAGGCACTTGGGAATTAGGCCTAAAAACCACTGATCACATGGGTGGGTGTGTTCATCTGAATTACTCAAAGTTTGTCTTCCTTTGATCCGAGATTCACCGAGAACGAGTGTAACTGTTTGATTTTGTCCACCAACCTTTTATGATAGAATCTCATGCTGGCTTCTGACTTATCATTCCTCAGTGTGGTAACCTACATAGAAATATGCAAAAACTAGTTCTTGCACGTACAGTATGCTTGCTATGTAGCAGAAATGCATTTTGCTGTGTGTAAATATTTCATCATTATCTACAATTCTATGATTCAATTACACTTTAAGCATCGTGGATCTGTAACTTAGTAGTTGAGTTGTAACTTAGTAGTTGAGGTGCTCGCCTTCCAGTACCAGTTTAAATCCTCTGAGATTTTTTTTCTCAACTAAGATAGCAAATCCAGTTCCTAAGCCTCATAACAAAATTTAGTTGTCCATTCTGTATTATAATGACAGGTGTTTTTTCTGTATGAAGTAAAGTGTATATTTTTTAATTAAAAAATACTTGTATTATTGTTTAAAAAGCCCGCTTTTGCAATAAATTTGATATCTACCTGGATTTTGTAGTAGTCCTGAGGTTACGATATTATTAAACAAAATGCATGTTACTTGTTACTTGTATAGCGCCTTTCTTTTCAGTTAAGGCGACTGTAAGCAACTCTCCACAATAAGTCAAAAACTTCCCCCCAAGTAAAGCTTGCATAGAACCAAACCTAAGCAAAGTGTGCTAACTTAACTAATGCAATAAAGCAGTAGAAAAATAAGAAAACAGAATTTTGAAGTATGTGGACAGTGATAATTGTCACTGAACGTTGGACTTAGGCCTAGGCGAATAAAAAATAAAATTGTCAACCAACCAACCCTAATTTCCATTTGTCGCTGTGCTTGGGCAAAAATGTTTTTTGAACTTGTGCGAGACTTTTTTTATACCTTGTTTAGTGAACCCGCCAACGATGATGATTTCGAATAAAAATGAAATTTTATTTTTGGCCAATTAGCAAATTCTTTATTTTTATTACACCCGCCCGCTGCCTTGAAATCTCCAAAAATAAGGTATATGTATATTTCTTCTTAATTATATAAATTTAAAGCATCATCTCATTACTACACTGTTTACATTCACCAATAAAATTTAATTTTATTTTCTCCTCCGTCTGGATGTTTTTTGGCAAAACCATGTGCTAAATAAAAAAAATTTTTTTCTGCCCTCTTATGGTAATACTGTAGGTAAAGTTCGCGGAACAAGGTATAATAAAATAAGTTCAGGAAAAGAGGTATAAAGAAAGTCTTCTCTTATAAATTAAACATGAAAACACCATCTTTCAGGTGTCAATTTGTGGGTCATCTTTACGTTCATTTACATCTTAAATGTTTTCTTAATATCGTTATTACTGACCTTTTCTGGATTTTGTTTATGTTTTTGCATCATTGTTATTTAATGTTTGTTAACCTTGACATTTAAACAGAAGTGTAGAATTATCTGAATGAGAAAAGAGACTTAATGAAATGTTATTAACAGTTTTCGATTTAGATTTGAAATCAATTGGCCTCGATTCTCTAATCATTGATAATCAGCTGTAATTTAATGCAAGCTCTTTTAAATATCAAATGTCATTCTGGAGAAAGTAATTTTTATTCTGTTTCAGGCAAGACTTTTTTGATAGTTTGTTACGCAAGCTGTCAATGGTGATGATTTCAAATAAGAATATATGTATTTATTTTTGGCATGTTACCAAACTTACCACTGCAAAAATTGAGATTTTAAAATTTGTTTTATTACAAACATGAAATCTCCTGATTAGAAATTGTTATTATTTTTTTTAAATCGAGTAAATATAAATCATTTATCAGTCTGGTTACTGAATTGTTTTCATCGCTATGTCGTATTTTTTTATCCAACAATGTGAAAAGGCCTGAAGCAAATGCCTTGAGGGAGTCATCTAGCTTTTGTTTCCTACAGCATTGTTGTTAGTTATTTTACCTTTTGAACTATACCCCATGGTGTAGCCTGATTCATTTGATTTGTTGTAAATTGTTTCGCTTTATTTGCCCCAAACTAGTGTTTGTAAATGCCAATGATTACCTTTTTTTAATTTGAAATATATAAATTTAATTAAATTTATAAGAAAACTGCTTTGAGGTTTGTCATGTAATAGGTTAGGGAATAATAGGTTACACTGAAAAATGTGTTTTACTGTACATACAGTGTTACACTGTGCATAGTGTTGCACTGTATATAGAGCGTTACACTATAAATATTGTACCATGTTAATTTGTAGATACAGTGTTACACACTGTACATAAGTGAATTACACTCTATTGGACTGTACATATAATACAGTGTTACACTCTTATATTTGTTGAACTATGCATACAGTATTGCACTCTATATATTATTTGTACTCTCATTATCCTTTCGTCAGTTATAATACTGAACTACTATTTTCTTTATTGCATTTAATTAACTACACCATTTCTACAATCAATATGTTTATTTGTTATTCTCTTACAGAGAAGAGGAAAAAAAATTTCCCCCAATGAACTCATACCAACGGATGCTTCTACATCGAGTTGCAGTTTTGTTTGGCCTAGAGCACAATGTTGATGACACAAAGAGCTATGTTATTCTCAACAAAACACAGCATATGAGAAGGTTAGTATAAAAAAAAAAATTAGGTAATATATTTTTTTTTTGGGTTATTATACTTCATTGTCAGCTGAGGTTCAGTAATGATCGGTGGTATGTTCGTTAAAGGTGGTATTCATTTGATGTTATTGATAAAAGGCCAAGGATTGCCAGAAGCTAATTAATCGCTGTCTTGTATAACTAGTGATCCATCCATTCATAACACAATACAGTGCAGACACTGTATAACAATACAGATTTGAAGGTGATCAGTAATAATACCATAAGGAATACCATAGTTCTCCCTGAATAATAATATGACAAAAAGACAACTAGTTTTTATATAACTTACTTATTTATAAGATACTATTATGTAATTATTTTATTTAACATTTTAAAGAATATTTGAGTGACCCTTTTAGCAAATCTGATAAGTAGGGCCAACTTCGAAAACTAAGAAAAAATGATCATTACTTAAGAGAAGTTAGATATTATATAATTAATTGGAGCAAGGTATACAGGCATAAGATAAGGAAAGGTAAAACTTTATTCATCCATGACATGGAAATTAAAAGTAGGTCGCTACGATTTACAAATGCATTAAAAGGAGAAACCTTAAAAAAAATATTTAAAAACATTAGGCCAAATAATAACTAGTTTCTCTGCCTCACCAATTTTTTTATTTTTTTTTATCTCTTTCATTCTACAAAATTTATGAAAATCTGGCTAATTCACTTCTGTAAAATTCATCTATCAATCGTTTGTGGTTTTCGATACGTATGGTATGAATCATGTCTAGTGCTTCTTTTATTTGCTTTCAATGCATCTACTTCGTAAAAGCAGAGGTCCCAAGTTGGTGAAGTGAAATTTCTGGGTAATTTGTCATTTATTGAAGTGAAAATTCTAGGTTATTTTTTGGTTTATTAAGAACATGTATGACATATTATCATGTTGTCATGCCGTTACTAAAATCCATTACAAATATTTAACAGAAACAGCAGACTTACAAAGAAATATATGAGTAATTCAGTTTTTTAATTGAATTTTTAATTTAGTTTACCGATGTCTGCAACTACGCCCTGGGAAGCTTGAAAAGAGTTTCAGAAACCTACATCTGGGGATACCTTCTACCTATAAAATTGTGTCAGTTTTTGATGACAAAATAGTAGGAAGCAATTGTGATAGGTTTAAGCTGTAGAAAAATACTACATGTAACTTGTAAGCTAGAATCTGTTGGATGTGTAAACTTTGTTGCTACATTAATTCAAGTTGAAGTCTATGCTTACTATTAAATTTATCAAGATTAGGCTTAAGCATTAACATGGCCTTACGCTGTCTGTGTTTTGTGCCAGCGTATGGCGCAATTCATCTCAATCCCGAAGCTTATACGACTCCATATATCTCAAAAAGATTGACTCGGTAAACTTGGAGTAGACCGTTGATTGAGTGAGATCTTACAACTAAATATTTTTAAGATTTCTTAATACTTCCAACTGCTTAAAAAGAATATTCCTATTAAAAGGTTTTAATTGGATATCAAATTTGTAATCTCTTTTAAAAAGTCAGAAAATCCTCAATATTTCTTGTAATTTTTATTAAATTGACATCAAATTTTGAAATTTATAATTTTCAAAACAAATTATAAGGATTTGTTGACATTTTGTTCTATTAAATGATAAGTGATTCAATAAAATATACCTTACTCATACTGTTTCATATTGCTATATATATATATTAAAACAATATTATTACAACAATATGACAAATAAATCATGAATATAAAAGCACTATGTTATATTTAAAGGCTATATTATTTTTCCAGACCTGACCAGAAGTTTCAGGATTATATCAAGGATGACCCCGTGCCAACAACAATTCTTAAACGAAGTGGTGAACAAACTGCAGACTACTCAAGTATGGGACGACCATTCGACAAAGATTTGAACAAACAGAATAAATCATTTGAAGAAAGAAAAGAAAATTATGAAGAACTACGGCACAAGCTCTTTAGTGGAGATAAGGTGAGGCAACAACCTTTTTCCACTCCTCTAAAAATGTATTGATAATATCAATAATAGGGGGCATTGACAAAATGTGTGTGCTAGAAAACTGACCCAAAAGTTCACTTATTCTATACTTCTATTCATCTTGAGAGATGTTCTCAGTTCTATTGATTTCATTGGACCAATTTTAAGGTATGTTTTTTTAAAGCAAGAAGACTTAATGAGCATGGAGAGACTCAAATTTTGAGGCTATAGGTTGTGGTTTCCCTTGCCTCTACCACTTAACCACTCTACTTGGATTTTACGGGATCATTAATAATAACAATAATGTTTAAAGTGAAATAAATGCTAACATTCACAATAACAACAAAAACAATAAAACAAGTCATTAATAAATATATTAAAAACCTAAATATAATCCTATATTCTATATTTTTTATTTGTATAATACTTAATAGATATAAAAATATTTATATTATATTATTATATGTAACTCAAAAGGTATGCTTTTTACTGCCTTTTGATAGTGTATGTAGAATACTTATCTACTGCATTAAATCTGTTGCAACACAAACAATTTGTTGACAAGTAGTGTGATAGATTTTGATTACATATATTTTGAAATAAACATTTAACGTCAGATTTTGATTACATATTACCTATTTGTTTATACACACACCGACTATATAAATTGACATTATAAATTTTTCAGAGGATTTACTTAATTAATTAAATTTTTGTCCATGGGGTTATATATCTACCAGTGAAATAATGTTTGTCTTCAGATACTTTCACCACTCTAATTGTTCCTTCAGTCGTATTTTACGAATAGCAGTCATGCACACACTATTTCACTCAACTATATTATTACTAGAAAAGGACGTACTTCAATTATAACCAAGTCAAATTGAATTCATCTAACTTCTTACGCCAGCCCACACTGTCCATAGAAAATGCAATGCTACGACGTGCACGCAACGGATTGCTTTCAATGATGGTCTGCTCAGACTGCCCCCACAATTAGCAGACAGCATGGCATCTTCACACGCTCACAAAGTGCAGTGTGTTCCTGGCTTTAAGAGTATCATTTGCATGTGACTTGAAAAAGTCGTAGTTGTGTTACAACTGTACCTATTTTTCTGATTTTTATATTGAATAATGTTAAGGAGCATTTATAAATATTACAAGGGACTTTTGGTTATGAAGTCCCTTTTTTTCATTGAATATAGAATCAATCATGCATTATTGAAACAGTTATTTATTCAACATGAGTTGCATAATCTTTCCAAAAATTATAATATTTATTTCTTTGTACTGTACCTGCTTTAAAATGAGAATAAAAATAAAATTATATTTTTTGCCTGTTAGAACAACCATCGGCATAAAAAGATTGTTTTATTTTATTTTTACCATGTCCATAGCATAAATATAAAGAATTTATCAATATGATTGTTGAACTGTTCCAACATCACATTCTGTTATAATGACAATGAAAAAGCAAAAGCATCAGACGCCCTCTATTTTTCACTTTTTTACTCTGAATTTTCACATTTTTTTATCCGCCAATTATATTTTATTTGTATTTTCTTCTCCATTTAGATGCTTTTTCATAACCATTTTGCTAAATGAGTGGACAAAATTTTGTTTTTATTTTGTTCCCAAAACTTCTACAATCTTTCAAATATAGTTTTCCCTAAACAAGGTATATCTGGTCTAAGTGTTTAGTGGATCTTAAAATATTAATAATTTCTTTATGTGGAATATAATAAGTTACTGTAAAATCCTTTGGTTTGTTTATGCATAGATCATTGATAACTGCATTTGAATCTATCAGAAGACTTGAATTATCATATTTATTGCCCAATAGATAAATTAACGAGCAAAATCTGTGAATTATGCCGATTCCCATCCTTAACGTTCAGACCTGGATATTTGCTGAATGTAAATTAGATTGAAGTTGAGCTCATGCAACCAAAAAAAAAAATGCTGATGTCATGCAACCAAAAAAAAAAAAAAAAAAAAAAACAGTGTTAAAGATACTGTACTGTCTGTGATGAATTCTGGAAAACCCCCACATATTAGATTTAATTATTGAATTGCCCATTTAAAAAGGAATTAAATAAATTTAGAATAAATCACAAATGGAAAGGACTGTTACTGGTTTATATCTTTCAAATATATTACCAACCAATATAAGGGCCTAATTGTATCTATAACAATTTATTCAATGCTTAAAACACTCTGGCATGGAGCCAGCCAATATGCAGAACTGATTAAAAGACAGCATTATTCCACTAGCCAATACCTTATGTACAGTGTATATGCAAAGAGTATAGGATTTAGTATTATGTATGCATCTAAAAGTCTAATTATCATGTTGAAAGCTAATAAATTAAATATACAAAGTAACTTATTCAAATATCTAATTGTATGGTTTAAGTTTATTAGCAACAATTCAATGGCTTAGAAGGATTTGGAGGAAAAGTATGTAGATGAATATATTAATATCCAACCTTGAAATGTTCAACTCTGTTCCATCAAAGGCATATATCATTTAGAAAAACAGCTGAAAAGCTGAGCATTTCTAAGAAATATTATCCAAGCCAAATTTAAATTTGAATATTTAGCCAATCTACACCAGAGGCATGTTTTATTATGTTTGTTGTTGCAAACAATACATAGAAACAGGATATTCAATGTGAGTTGTTGATTGATAGTTATTGATTGGCAATAGGATATGTGCACAACTTTTGAGTGTCAGAATCGTGAGTTCAATTATTGTGATGTTTACCGTACTCACGCGAATAAGCGCCCGGGCGCTTCAAATATTTTTTGCACTTTCTGAGGGGCGTCTATTCAAACGGGGTGCTTATTTAAATGGGGCGCTTATGAAAACAGATTGGAAATTGAGGGGGCGCTTATAGAATTAGATGAAAATCGAGGGGTTCTCATGGAAAATTATTAAATTCAAGAGGCACTTTTTGAATGAAAAGGACATTACTGTACGAATGGTGGTTATGCGGAAAAAATAATCCTCCAGAGAACATGGCTCATTACAATAATGCGTGAATATTTGCGTAACAGCAAAATAGCAGATGCAATTAATGGTGGTGGGTAGTGGTTAGCTTGTTGGCCATCAGCCGATTGAGATTAGCAGGATGGCAGGATCATTGAATTTTTCTTGAAAACTCAGATGAGAATGTGTTAAAGGTCGGAAAAAGAAAAAGAGGATAGACAAATATGTAAAAAGTGTAAAGTTGGAAATATACTGTCTGTCCAGGGATCAGAGCTCTCATCTGTCCAAGAGAAATATCCTCATTTTGATATTGACCTAAAAAGAGTCCAGGGTTGATTGGATTATTGACTTGCTAAAAAGAAAATCTTATGATATTATTGACCGGGGCACTTATTTAAACGGGGCACTTAAGGAAATTTTCACGTTAGGAAGAGCGGTTATTCGAGAGGGGCGCTTATTCAAACGGGGCGCGAGTAAGGTACTTCCCTTACAGCTTCTCTCTCTGTAAGTAATTCTTACTCCTTAGCATCTCTCCAACCAAGCAAGGAGGTATAACTCCTTGCTCCAACACAATCAATTTTCTTTTAAGTAATTCCCCTCTCTAAGTAACTGCCTTCCCTAGCCAACTTCTTCTTGTGCAACTTAACTACATTTCTACCCTAAACTGCTCTTCTTTTTAAGCAGCTTCCCTCCCTAAACAAACCTTCCCAGTAAACAATTCTTATAAAGCATCTCTTAAACTTTAAGTATCTCCAACTCCTAATATTTGAAATTCAAAATGATCCATGAGACATGTCCATTGGACAGGTTGACATTAAAAACATAGTGTTTGGTATCAAAGTTATGTCGATATCTGCTCTAATGGGACATTTATGGTTATTTTTAATGTGAAAATAGCAGCCATCTCCTCCATAATACATAGTTCATTTAAGCTATCCCCCTTCTTAAGCAAATCTCCCCAGGTAATTTTTTAGTCAATTTTATATAACCAAACATTACCCCTAAGCAATCATAAGCCACTTCCCTTTCTTAAGCAATTCCCCCTAAGTATTTAAGTATCTCCAACTCTAATATTTGAAATTCAAGATGATCCATGAGATTGTCACCATTGGACAGGTTGACATTAAAAACATAGTGTTTGGTACCAAAGTCATTTTGATACCTGCTGTAATGGCACAGATATGGTTATTTTTAATGTGAAAATAGTAGCCATCTCCTCCATAATATATAGTTCACTTAAGCAATCCCCCTTCTTTTTAGCAAATCTCCCCAGATAATTTTTTAGTCAATTTTATATAACCAAATCTTACCCCAAAGCAATTGTCTCACATAAGCCGCTTCCCCTTCTTAAGCAATTCCCACTAAAGTTTTGAAGTGTGAGGCCTTATATAATTATAGTCATTTACCTAGTTTTTATGCAAATTGATAATTTAGTTGCTATTGGATATGCAATGAAATGCACAAAAATAAAATGGTGGAAATGTTCCTATCAATCTGATTGATAAGTTTGTTGTATAAACCAGGAACAGGTGTTGCAATGTAGAATTTGTTTGTAGGTAGGACAAATTATTTCCTACTCTTAAATGTTACATTTTTAAATCCACTTTAAATGAGCATCAACACAGTTTCTACCCCCTCTGAGTTCAATCATTGTCGTTTTTTAAATTGGAAATTCGGCAAACAAAAAGCAAGCCACCTGTCTAGGTAGGTCCTTCCTGCTCATCATAATACTTCTTTACAAACTCGCGAACATCTATCATTAAGCAGTTGATGAAACAACAGATTTTATATATAATATGGTGCAGAAATTCACAGTTACTTGCAGAATTTGCAGTAGTGGAAATGACAGCACACTACTGAAGTATAGATCAAATGGCAATAGGATGTGAAAGGAAATTCATGAATATCAGGTGAAAGCTACAACCACGTGCAACATTTGATTGGCAACTGGTTATATAATAACATTATTATTGTATTCTCTTTATCTTTCATGACGTGGACTGTCCGTCACTTACAGTAACTGTGGTTTTTTTTAATATTTTATACAGTGATTTTATTTTTTATCTAGTTCATACATTACAGGTACCGGTACATATGTTATAGTATAAATTAATTCTATCTGAAAGCTAGAACTACATGCAACATTTGATTGGCAACTCGTTATATAATACCATTATTGTGTTCTCTTTATCATTCATGACATGCACTGTCCATTATTTATTCTGTTTTTTTTTGTGTGGGTGGGGGGGATGGTGGGGTTTTCATACAAAGATTTCATTTGTTTCTAGTTGTACATTAAAGGTACATATGATCCAGTATCAGTTTAATTCAATTCATATATATTCTTGAAAACATAAACAATTAAATAAAACAACATGTAAAGCCAGCTTTCCTTGAAACGCTACACTGTCGCTGCAGCTTTTTTACTGCAATTTGTGCACTGCATAGCTGTTCCCGATGCAATCGGAAACGCTACCTGATTCATCTGACCAATCAGCATCTCCAAAGGAGTCGGCCATAGTGTGTAGCGATGGAAAACCAGGCTTTATTATACTGAAAAATCTACTTCTAGTGAATGCTAAATTAGTGAAAAAAGTAGTGAGGATAATACTGAAAATTGAATAAAGCTTTGATTTCAGTTGCTGTGGAAAATTAAATATAAGCTAAGTACTGTATATAAGTGGAGCTCTAGCTTAGTGGTTAAAATGCTAGCTTTCCCATCTCAGTGTCCTGTGTTCAAATTATTACAGACAAGGAATTTTGAATCTTAAAGAAAGAGAAAGAGAGTGAAGGGATTACTACCAGTGCAGTTTGGATTCTAGAGTTCTAGAGTATCATCAACAATTCTTATACCCTATTCAGACTACACTCCGTTGCGATCGGTTGCGATGTAACCAGTGGTAATCCAAAACTGATTACTCCCAATCGCATTCAACGAACGCATTCAGACCAACACAGACAACCTTACATTCTAGGGCCTAGGCCTCCAGTGGCTAGGCCTGTGTTGACTGACCTCAGCCAAACAGTGCGTTGTGATTTGTTGCAATCGGATTCCGTGGTAATCGGGAGTAATACAGATTGTAGCACTCAATCACATTGGGTAACAATTGCAATATCGATTACTATCGGTGAGCTTTCACACACGATTGTGAATTGCTATTGGGTGTCGCAATTGCTACAACCGATCAGAATGCAATGCTAGTCTGAATAGGGTATTAGTAAATTTGAATTTCAAAATCACAAATTACAATGTATTTCTATAAACCAAACTAATACGTACCGTAAATGCTTGAATATGGCTTTGGAAGCTTATTCGAGAGTGGCGCTTATGCAAAATTATTTGGCATGTTGCATTTCTTCCCTGTTTCCATGTTACCTATCTCAAATATTCCCGTAGTCCTATCAGGTTCTACGTCATCATAAATAAGCATTTATAAAGAAATACTTGTGTCTTCATTGTGTTATTTTATTCATTTTAACACTATACCTTGTATTTAAAACCCTGTTTCTCAAAGTATTTCATTACACACAGGGCAATAATATATACTCTCGATTAAGCGCCGCAGCACTTATTCGAGAGCAGCGCTTAGAAAAAAAAGCAGGTTTGGTGCGCCGCTTATTTAAGCATTTACGGTATTATAAATATTACTATAAACACATTCTATTGTTATTAAATTAGTACTAGGTTTACATAAATATAATTCCTCTTTTTCCTTTTCATTTATATATTTTTTAGGAACCGCAGGAAGTACCAACAATTCAAAGGTATGTCTTTCTAAATGTGCCTAAATTGTTTTTAGTATTTTATTTTCATTATGGTTCTAATTATAATTTATGTTAACTTGTTCTTATTGTTATTGTTATATATTGCTATGATTGTCTATATCTATAGCATTAAATCAGAATGAATTTATGTGCACCCTCGAAGCTAAGTTACTGGCAATCTTGCCAATCAACAGAGGTGACCTTTATAAATCGCCTGTTTCGGCTAAATTAGAATTAGAAGTTGGTTTGAAGAACATTAGTACAGTTTCATGTTGATCGTTTACAAAAACTCTATGGTGACAGCCACCTGGACGCATTCCTATGCAAATTGTATGCAGCCATCTTCAAAACTTGGTTTTTGTACATGTGGTTTGGGTTGTGTGATGGCTAATTGTTGCTTTCAAATGGACATTGGAATTACTACTTTGGTAAATCTAGATTTGTTTTATTTTTCTAACCCACTTGCCACACGAACTTCAGTGATAGCAAAATCAATTCTTTTCTTCCCAAATATGTGCCTGGCCGTTCCCTACGTTCATCTGATCTCAATTTAATTTCTGTCCCTCGCACCAACACTAAGACCTTCGGACACAGATCATTTTCATTTGCTGCAGCCACACTCTGG